CTCCTGCACTACTCGCCGTTCAGTGTGCTGTAAGAGAGATTGTCATGTGTGTGTGTGGTGAGAGTGCAGACTGACGCTGTGTTCTCTGTGGTGTGCAGTTCGTCCGGGCAGCGTCAGGAACATCATTCAGCAGTTTGAGAGTAATTCCGACTCTCTGGAGGACGGAGAGCTGGAGGGGCAGAGATTGTCCGGCAGCTTCGGGGAGGACAGTATGGAGAGGTGTGAGGATGTTCACACTTATTATATTGTCATGTTCATCCCCTAAAATCTCACATCGTGATCATAAATGCAAATGCATGATAATATTTAATGAAAGTGTGTTACTATTGTGCTTTTCACTATAATTATTGCTTCAAAGCAGCTTTGCAAAAGGTGTACATTATTGCATTACAATCCAAATCAGAAATGTTAAGGTTATTAGTAACAATAACTTTATTAGTTCATAATATCTTAAGCTAATTAACTAGTTACTAATAACGTTTAAGAGTTAAAGTTATTATATATAAGCTTAGTTTTTACCATGCTTAAAACATTATTAATAATAGAATAGCATCATATGATTATCATGCTTCATACCGTCTCTTTTGTTTTGATATATTTGTTTTTTTTTTACATTTGTTTTCAGCTCTTTCTCTCTTTTCTTTATGGTTAAAAATTAAAATAAAATTAATAATTTATAAGATGCAAATAATAATATTTACCTGTATGTTTATTTATTAGTTTATTAGTTTTGGCTGAAATGAACATGAAAAAACATCTTCAGATATGATTTACTCACTACTTCACTGTTTTCCTCCAATTTTTAAGGGCCGACCTGTCTGACATTTTCTCTAAATTCTTTGGATGAAATGCTCATTTTTAACCTTCATTTATTAAAAAAAATATTATATTATATTATATTATATTATATTATATTATATTATATTATATTATATTATATTATATTATACATTTGTTGTGCCCTCTTATTTTTTTATTATCAGCATTTTATGTATATATATATATATATATATATATATATATATATATATATATATATATATATATATATATATATATATATA